AGTAAAATTTTTTCACTGAAAGTATAAATATTTTATATATTATAAATATTATAAATATATTGTAAATATATTAATAACATTTATAATATATAATTTATAATATATAATATTTTAATTCTTTACCTAATACTTCAAAAAATGGATTTTCGGCCGATTACATTTTGTAATTGCACTCTCACGTAACTCACGTTTTATTTTATTCTCATATTTCTCGCTCAGACACGAAAAACTGAATTTGATGATTAATCACATTGAAATTTAGGTTTGGGGATTCGAAATTGAAATCCGAGTCGCAGTATAAGTACATACAGTATAGACATTGAATTTTTTATGTGGTCCCCAATTTTTAGTGCGTATGTATCGATTTCCAGGATTGTTATCGTTTTCAACAAGTTGAAATTACAGGTTAAGTTTAGCTGGATCTCCTTCCCATAAATATAATTAACCCTTTCGTCTACAATATTGTGTGAGATGGTAAGGAAATCGGGCCAAACATGAATATTACGGATGAGAGCCATGGTATATCGTTCATACAAAGCTTAATTTTTAATTTTTTAATTTGTAAAAGAAAAGTATGGCAAAGGATTAATAAATTAAGTTTTCCTTAAAAAAATTAAATCAAATTTTTTCGGAGACGCTATATTGTGTAGATTGTTATATTTGTATACGATAGAGTATTCTCGTAATAAAGTATGCGTGCGTGCGTGCGTGCGTGCGTGTGTGTGCGTGCGTGCGTGCGTGCGTGCGTGCGTGCGTGTATTAAATACGTATATTAAATTACAACTTCACATTTAATTATAATTTTCATGCAATATATTATTTTTTCATATATAATTATTCAATTACAATCTTCATATTCAATCAATTATTATTTTTAATTTACTTATTATTGTTTAATGTTATTATTATTCATGTTATTTTTATATAATGAGTTCGTTAACATTATATTATTATGTAATTCTGATTTAAAAATATATTCGTTATAAACATATTTTCACGACATGACCGAATTATGTCTTTTTTTTTAGAAAAATCATTCTATTTATAGTTTTATAAAAACTCAAATTTATAAGCGCCTTTCCAATCCACAACATGGCAGCGAGTCATGGGACCCACTACATCAAAGATGTCGATGTTCAGTATCCATACTGTATGTATTTATACTATCCGAGTTCTGATATTGGAGACCAGACTTGAGTTCTGAAGAACAACATGAATTCGGGCCTCAAGGTTTCTCTGTGGTGAAACTTTTCAAGAATAGAGGGGTTCAGTTTCGACCACGATTAGTCCTTCGGTACGTCATAAAAAATTATATAAAATTATTAAATAAATAACATGAGTGTGATGAGTCAGAATAAAACGCAATAATATGAAATTTAATTAGAAATCAGTTGAATAGACAGTGAATAGTAAATCACAAGAATGTTAAATTAGTTACAAAGTTAAATTTCATTGAAACGTTCATTAATCAATTTAAAATTATAAATGGTATGAAATATTGATTTATTGAAATTCTTGATGATAATTTGTTTTTAATTCGTTAATTGGTAAATGTATTATCGTTATTACAATTTATAATATTATTGATCATTGTGTAACACAAAATTTTCAGACTGTGCTTTATCAACGACAATCATTATCATAAATAAAATTACAAGTGGAAAAGGCCAAAAAATGCAGAGAATGGAGATTTATTTTTAAGAGATTTTAAAATTTTCTGTTTGTAATATAAAACAAGATTCTTTAGGCGTAGTCTTTTTTTACTAATATATTCTTATTTTACTAATATATAGTCCCTTTGTCCAAAAATTACATTTTATTTATAGGAATTGTTTTGTTGTAATAACTTTTTTTTTTAATGAATAATGAGCAACGGGAAAAGTTGATGATCTTGACCTCCTTGAGGATTAAAATTAATGTCAGGGTTATTTAAAAATCATTTGAAGTTAGCTGTGTAAAGTTAAACTTTTATTATAAATACTTTTATTATAAATACTTCATGTATAAATTATATTATATTATAATGTAAATTATATATGTATAAATAAATAATATAATAATATGCAATTCTTTGAAATTGTAATGATTTATCAAAATCACTGAAAAATAACAATTACATTTGTGTAATGTATGTATAATAAAATACGTATAATGTATGTATAATAAAATAATAATAGTTTTTATTTCAAAGTATGCCAGACAGTAACAAGTTTTCTTGGATTTTGAAGCACTGAGAACCAATGTAATCTTTCGGTCGAACCTCTCACACCTTTTCCAAGAGCCACTTTACCGATAAAAATATCGGTAGACTTTTTGAACGAACTGACAGAATCTTCACTGTCACTAGCGTCGACGGTATTGGCAGATAATCCTTCTGGTAAAACCTAAAATTATTGATGATAGGAAAACATGATTTTGTTATGTCACTGTTTTACAAAAGTTATTTTTATTGTATGATCATTTATAATGTGATATTAACACTTTGACGGCCGGACTCGCATATGAGTGAGTTCACTGAGCCAGCGATTATCGGCCGACTTGACGCGTATGTGAGTTTATACGTGAGTCAGCGCTTAAGGTGATGCTAAAGCCGATAATATGACATCTTTGATTCATTTTTTACATCATATTATATATCATTCTATATATCTTACTCAAACGCATATGTTCTTAGCTGAACTCTAAAACTATTATATCAAGCAAATATATATCTGAGATGATAGCTGTACGAGTCAAAAGTAAGTGAATTTTGTAATTTTTTTTCGATTTTCTCATGAAATCTAATGCAGCGAAGATCCTGTTTGTGCATACTTTAATTTATGTAATAATATTTTTGCAATTCGTAAATCCAATTTGGAGATTTTTTTACCGTGTAAATGTCAATAAAACAAACATCTCAGCATTGCCTTAAGCCCGTGTCACACTACGGATTGCGGATTTGGATTGCGAACTATGGATTGTCAATCAGTCAATCATAGAAGTAGCCAAAGATTCGGATAAAAATTATATATATTAACAGATAAAAATTATATATATTAGTATATATATATATATACATATATATATATATATATATATATATATACACATAATACGAGAGAGATAGCCGAGAAGAACACATTGTTACTGAAAA